CAAAAGATTCATATAAGGAAACTATAGCTAACACATTACTGACATCTTGGGGGTCTCCAAGTCTCCATAACAAGTGTTGAACACTAACAACATGGGAGGAGCCTTTTGAATTGCATGCCAGGAGAAAGCCATTCTTTGTCCTGCTAATAATAAACATTAACATGTAAAGTTTGCTCCACTTCTCTACTGGGAATTTAACTGGAACCGCATCCTGTGGAGCAGCTGTAATGCTGTGGGCATGTTTCTATACTGAAGCCTTGGGAATCCTTGTTAATCTTGCACTGCTGTATGGAATATATCCAGCCACGTAACTAAAATATTGCTGTTGTGTTGTTCAATAGTTCAACACATGCATACTAATTAATACAGAAATGTGAAACAGAATCAACCTTTTTATGGCCATGTCAGCGTCTAGACATAAATAAATAAAACTAAAACCTTTTGAAGAAATTGTTGGAAAAGAGCAGGATCCTTGGTGAGGGTCAGGGTTACTGTGAAAGAATGTGCAAGGATGAATAAAAGACAGGGCTGTCCAATACTAAAAAGCGGATAATACAAAGGATCAACAGCCTGGGAGCAATCTTTATTTCACTTGTAATTTTGTGGAAATTAATTTCATTAAATTCTCCCTGCATTGCATTCAAATTTTAGGCAGATTTGTGAAAAATTTGCAGTGTGAGATAATGCTACTGCGAAAGGAAAAAAAAACAAACAAAAAAAAAACAAATTTTTACTTCCTCTTCCTAAAAAAGTATTTTTTTATATCTATTCCAGTGAAGAAATCCAAATATTACATTTATCCATATTCTAATATTCAAGCACTTATCTTAACAAAAATAGCAGTTAAATAAAGATTTGACTTTAACCAGAGAAAGGGGAAATTGGGAATCAGGAAGTTTAGTGCTTTTTTGTCTTCTTCTGATGAAGTGCCGTTGACAAATCAAGTCTGATCCAATGGTAAAAACCGCAAATCAATTGTTTGGAACTGGGTTCAAATGGGATAAACAAAGAAAAGAGGATATATTTTTGGTTTAGAGAGAAAAGTCATACTAATGGGTTGATTTTTAACTGTTTTTCTTAGTGTTTGTATGTGTATATGTCTGTGGGAGGGGTCATGCATTTGATATTGCCACTGTTTTTGCATAATGTGAGATGAGACCCCATCATCTTTCCTCCCCCACAACAATTTTATAACAGACAGCTAATAAATGTTTCATGGCAGAACAAGCTGCTCGCTTCAGCTTTATTAAATCTGAGATAATAAAGGCAGAGAGAGAGAAGGAAAAAGAGTGAGAATAGGGGGTTGCATCAGAGAGAGAGAGAGATAGAGAGATTGGCATAGACTTTTCTCTAACCAGCCTGCTGTATCTTCTGTTTCTGAGGTAACGGACCCCACTGTCCCCCATCAGCCCCTCCCTGCTGCTTCCCGCTCCGCCAGAGTCAGACAGGAAATGAGAAACGGGCAGACAGGATATTGCGTTCTGGTGGCCTGGGGATTAACTGTTTTATCTAAACTAACACACACCCTATCACTCACACTCACAAACACACATCTACATCCTGACACATAGCATTCATTCTTGATCAAAGACACAAACACATACCATGCAGACTATGTATGTCATACAAGTTTTTGGTTACTTTTTTTAATATTTCAAGAAGGAATAATGTTTCTTTATGCACCGGTATTTTTTTTTTTCTTAAAATAATACAAGTTAATGGGACTTGAAAACAACTATTCTGCGGTGTTGGACAAATGGCAGCCTCTTTTATATTCATGTTTACTCTCATATGCAGAGAACTCTCTCCTTTATTAATACCTTTATTATTTATTTAATATTATTATTTATTTATTATCTATCTATCTATACATATATATATATATATATATATATATATATATATATATATATATATATATATATATATATATATATATATATATATATATATATATATATATATATATATATATATATATGAATGAGTAAGCTAGATAGTGGAAATATACATATAGAAATATTGATATGGATATATAGCTATGCACACACACAAAACTGTATATGAGTGCGTGGTGGCAGGGTAGCAAGTATCGTGGGGAATGCTGGGAGATTTTAATAACACAGAAGCAGCGCAGGGAGATTTAATAAAAGGAGATGATGTGATTACTGAACCCTGGCTCTGAGCCATTTTGCTCCACAGAGCAATATCCGCCAAAAGTGTGCTCGCTTATGTGTACACACACACACACAACCACACCCACACATCTACACACACACACACGCTTGTAAGAAACGCTATACACACACACACACACACACACACCTAAGAAATGAAAAACAAAATACAACTTAAAAGTAAGATTGATGCATATGATTTGTTCTTTTTTCCTGTATCTCCTCTATCCTTTGTTAATTTTCAGGGAGCGCCATTTATGTGTCACATGTTGCTATCAATAAGTTAGTAAGAAACAAAATATGGTACATCAGGGCCTGAGCGTATCATATGCTGGGAGTAAACAACAGTCAAGGGGGTTAAAATGAATGACAGTCTTTCTTTTCAAGGTATTTAAGTTCCTCTGAACCCAAACCAAGCATAATTCAGAGCCAGTGTAACCAAACCAATACCTGTATAAATATTAATCATGACAACATGGGGATGAACTAAACTGTAACAGCTCTGAGATGCATACATATTTATGAAATGCTCTTATTTCAGTCCAGACAGTGTTAAACTTGTCAGAGCTCACAAGCTAAACAATGCCACATGACACAGCTTAGGGAGATGGCAAAGATTCTGGTTGTATGCACGGGATCTACAGAAATACAAAGAGGAAAAATGTGATTATACCAGAACTCTACGAATGCAGTATGTCTCTGTGTCTTTCTGAATTTGATCTTTTAATTTCTGAGCTCTAACCTTCTAACCCTCTATTGCCTCAAAAATCCATGCCACTACACATGAAAGTTGGCTGGTGTGCCCGTATATCCCCTTTCTTTGACATTGAATTTATGCACTGAAAGTAATTTTTTTGGACAGTGATGTACAAACCAACATCTTATTAATTATTATATAAGACACTAGATATGTAGAACACAAACACTCAGAAATGTCAAAAATGTTTGTAAGAATATAGACAACCTCAGGTACATGGTTGCCCTCTGTTATTTTCACTGTGATTTTAGTTAGCTGTCCTCCAAACATGACCATGTGTGACTGATACTTCTATTAGAGGGATTAAACTGATCTACTTACAGACCCCCCGCTGCGGCAGTTACCCCAAGTTGCCGTCATTTGCCATGTTTAGTAAATTCCTACCGTGCTGTGTACACATTGATTAGGGAGTGTGGGACTTAACCGCACACATCACCCGTATTAAGTCAAGCAGTCTTGATAATTCTGTTCTGTTGAGCATTGTTCGTGGTGAAAGCAACTATTTAAGACACTGAAGTGTCTGTTCAGATGGAGAGCGAAGCTGTGCAAAGGTCTTCTTTGTGCATATATATACTTCAGATACCACTCATTAAAAAATGTTTGCGCTTTTTCAGATCAATCATATATCTGGAATGAATTACGGTAGAAAAGAATGTTTAAGAACAGTAAAAAAATTTAAAAAAAGAGTATTTTGGTCATTGAGCTTTAGGGTTGATAATATGCATACTACTTATTTTTATTTATCAAGTAGGGGACACTGTAAATTGGGGAATTTGAGGAGACCGTTTGACAGATGGATTGAGAAAGATTAGCTGCAGCAGCTGCGTTTGGGACAGAATCACAGATTAGAAGCTCTAATGTGCAGACCTGGCTCCACACTTGCTCTCCAGTGTAAGGGCAACAGCACCTTGCCCTCTCTCAGTCTGGGAGGGTCAATACCTCAGCCTTCATCTTATCATCACTCACTTGCATAACTTTTCAATCTCTCACTTCTTAACAAGATTTGTGTTTTGTTGTGATGCTATTTCTGTACCCACAATTCTTGATTATTTTAGTGCTCTTCTATTGTTCCTATTCTTTTGAAAACTCTACTGGTTTTCTTGTGGATTAAAACATTTTTCTTGGTGTTTATTTCATCCCTCCAATATGACAATTGGTATTGCATATACCTAGATGAGTAAGGGAGTTGTTGCATGCTTTAATGTTAGTACCATGTGTTCAATATGTGGACAAGTACCTGAGTGTGTGTGTTTTGTGTGTGTTTTGTGTGCATAAGTGAGAGGAGAGAGATTAACCCCATGCTATCACCAATCCCTGGTTATGAGTTTACAGCGTCTGTCTGGCCATCTCACTGTTTAAACAACAATCTAATTAATCCCGTCTTTATTAGTTTCAGTGAACTGGGGAGGCAGGTTTGGAGGGCATGAGGGAAAACTGGGAATCCTGGCAGAAAAGGCTGAGGGAGGGGGAGGAAACCTAGTGCAAGAACAAGGATTTGGGAGGAATTTGAAGTCAGAGACTTGGCCCTGTGAATGTAAATAGGCACTGAAAGTGATTGTAGAGCATGAGAGCAATTGAAAGGTTAGAAAATCACAGAGGGCAAGAAATAAGAAGACTAAAGAAAGCAAGTAGTCATCAGGAAAGAAAATTAATCGAACAAAGACTATTTTAAGCACAATATGCAGAGTCATATGTATTTTTAAGATTATGGTTTGTTTAAATTTGCCAAGTCTGTTACGAAAATGATTATGCTGGAAAATGCAGCCCATTATCAACTAACTACTGCCACCTACTGCCAGTAGGGAGAAAACAAAACTCAATCCTTTGAAAACAACTGTTACTCATCTTAACAGATGTTCACCTTGTTGCTCTGTGAATTGGGTAATGCTGAGGCAGTCTTTAATTAAAAGACTTCACTCTTGAACATTTTTATTGCTGCTGAGGGTAAATTTATCTTAGCCCATTGTTTACATCTTCATGTTTAATTGCTTTAATTCTTTTTCTGCTTTAAGACATAAATAAATGAATACACAAGTGCATGTGTCTATACTTCTTTGTATTTTCAGGCTCTTTGTCAGGAAGTGCAGTGCATGCCTGCAGGTCATTGGACGCTCTGAGCTGATAATGCGTGTGCTAGGCCAGGTATACCACCTGGGCTGCTTCAGCTGCTGTGAGTGTGAACGCCGACTGCAGAGAGGTGATGAGTTTGTGTTGAAAGAAGGCCAGCTGCTCTGCCGCATGGACTATGAAAAGGAGAGGGAAATGCTTGCTGCAATTAGTCCTGCTCCAACTGAATCAGGTGTAGTGTTTGATGCAATACTATTTAATTTGTACCACATCTGACAAATTTTCTTAATAAATTCCCATAATTGCCCTTCCATGTTTGATTACAGCTGTTAACATTTCAACAATCAAATTTTATCAAGTTGGCATCTAGATTTATGAATAAACCTTTAAGGCTTCTGACATGTCAGCAATACAGATAATTGTAAAAGCAATATTAATTAAATGAACTACTACAGTACAAAAAAATGTAAATCTAAATAAGTATTTTCTTCTTAAAATAAGTGCATTTTTCTTGAATTCAAAATGTAAGTGAGACACTTTGCCAGAGGAACAAGACAGTATACATTTAAAATAAGAAAATTATTATTATTTTAAGAGTTAAAATATTGATTCCATTGGCAAATCATCTTATTTACCTACTCAAATTAAGGGTAAATACACTTAATCTGAGAAATATTTACTTATTTCTGGATCATTTTTGCAGTGATTTGTGATTTTCTGCATAGCTACATGGCACACTACATTGGAGCCTGACTTTGAGCTGTGTAAACTCCTTATCATACTCAGTAAAAAGTGAGGATGAAGATGGTGGGGGAGGCTCTGGCAGTGGGAAAGGTGGTGATGAAGGAAAAGAGCACAAGCGTTCAAAACGACCACGCACCATATTGACTACGCAGCAACGGCGAGCTTTCAAGGCCTCCTTTGAAGTATCAGCCAAGCCATGCCGAAAGGTGGGTGGATCCCCTTCATTATCAGTGAAAATGGATGCCAAAACAGACCTTGACTTTACTTTCGGAGTTCATTGTTTTTTTCCTGGTTGTCTGATAAAGCTATTTATCAAGTTTACATCCTAAAAGCAATGAAAAACCCTAACCTGTAGGTGAGGGAGACCCTGGCTGCTGAGACCGGCCTGACAGTGCGGGTTGTGCAGGTTTGGTTTCAAAACCAGAGAGCTAAGGTGAGACATTTATCTCTTTCCTGAAGACATGTTCAGTCACTAATTGTTAATATCCTCAGAGGATTCTCACAGCATCCAGTTTTCTATCTCAGATGAAAAAGATAGCTCGTCGACAGCAGCAACAACAACAGCAGCAGCAGGAGCAAGAGCAACTGGGAGGGACCAGGAGAGGGCCCAGTAGAGGAGGCCGTCAAAGCAATGATGACAGTGAGGGTAAGAAATATAAGAATAATATTTTTTAGAAAGCCTTTAAAAGGTTAAAATATTTTAAATTACTTTCACCTTTCTAGATGGATCTAGTACTCACGGCATCGACAGCATGTTAGGATATCCATCTCTGCCACGTCAGCAGCTACTTTCCCTGGACCCAAACATCTATGGAGGAGAGCCATTTCGACATGGGCTGACACCTCCTCAACTAAACAGTGAGCAGATCCACTCTTACGGTAAGATATATAAAAAAGGACTCAAGTTTTAACCTCATTTTCAGGCTTAAAAATCACATTTGTTGAATCCCTCTTTCCCTTTACATGTCTGAACATTAACCCAGTTCTACCAAAAGTGTTGTCTCTTTTTTTTGCTGCAGACTCAGAGACTGTATTCCATGATTTGGACAGCGATGGAAGCCTCAGTCACCTCGGGGACTGTCTCTTGGCAACAGGAGATGGTGGTCTTCTGGCAGGACGAGTAGGAAACCCCATCGACCGTCTTTACTCCATGCAGAACTCCTACTTCACTTCCTGACACTTAAAAACCTCAATCTTTACTCCTCCTGTTTCACCTTTTGCCCGAGAGAAGCAACCTGCAGATGGGACTATTCTCAATTAGACAGGCTGGAGCCAAACATACTTCTGAACTTTTATCACTGGATTACATCATCATCAAATCAATCGGGCAAAACAGCACTATTTTGATTAGCATAATGTCCTTTCATGCTTTCCTGAATAATAATCATATGCTGGAATGACAGACACTGTAAATCTTCATAATAATGGCCTTGTATTTTTTCAATTGTATTAATGCCATACTCAGTGAGAAATATTTAATTTCACTTTCCAACAAAAAAAAAAGAACATGACAACGCATATACCAATCAGTACATATGACTAAGTTACGTACTTTCGAGGACTCAGTCAAGTTAAATGTATTTAGAGGTTGTACTAGTTACAAAAATTTGGGGGTCTAAATAATATTAGGACATTGGTAAAGCTCCTTTGTTTTGTCTGGATTCATTTTTAAGCAATGTGTAAGGATGATTGCAACATATACAAGAGTATATGGAGTGGATTACAGTTTTGCTCTCAGGTTAGTGTGTATGTTTTTGTGACCTGAGCCTCATCTCAGGAAATTGCGTTGGTTAGAAAACACCTTTAACTTCCCTTTTATTTCAAATTTTATCCTTTTTGAGGCTTGACAACAAAAAAAGTGGACCAAAAATAAATTGTTTTTACATTATTAACGAAACAGATGACCCCTCAAGAGTCATTTGAAAAGCCTTAATTAGAACAGGGTGATTAAGTGATTATCACTTCAGTTTATGCTTTTATAATATTAACAGTAAAATTAGTGCAGTAGTTTAAACCAAAAGATCTACAATGCCCAAATCTTAGGACTTAAAGTCCACGGTGGTGAATTCCAAATGTAAATGCGAGTATGACTGCGTTACACATAATTGTTGCAATCACTTTCTGTAATAATTTCCTTCGTCTTGAATATCCTGATAGATGCTGTTGGGTAGACATTTTGTACCTGTGATAATCAGCAAATATTTAAACCATAGCATGATATCTGTGTGCCACAAAGTAGATCTATAGAACTAGAATCCAATTTTTGGGGGGTGGGAAATAGCCAATTTTGCTGTAGGGATCTAAACAGACCTATCCTGTGGCACAGCAAGAAAAAAAAAAAGAAACTACAGCGATACCTATCTTATTTAGTTGTCGGTGAATAGCCGGAACCTGGGGTACTCTTAAGAAAATGTTTGATTCTAATCAAATACTTGGCGTTCTTACTGTGATATTAATGTGAATGTAATTTATTTGTGTGGTAGTAGATGATATTCTATTTTGTTCAGTGACAGCAAGGTGATGTGCTTTGAATTCAATGTTCATGTATCTTCAATACAAACTGCAGTTTTGCTTTTGAAGTAAAATTGGCTTATTTGTCCTTAATGAAATAAATAATGAAAGTCTAACAAATTGTTCCCATGGTATTAACTAGTAATACACCTTAAAATAAAGGAATCTGTTTCTCCCCCATTACTCACCCCAAACCTTTAATAATTGAACCAGAAAATGTCTGTTCTGCTTAACGGTCACAAGGTTCATAACTCAACATCCTCCCTCTGTCTGTCTCAGTGGTCCTGCTGATTAGTGGTGAGTAACCGCCTTTTTTTTTTTTCTTTCCCTCCTATCTTCCCAGACTCCCATTGCTCATTGACTCAATAGTCAGTAGAATATGTGTGGGAGCAATTACACTTCAGATTAATATTTGACAATGACCTGGAGAATGCATTGGTAGGAGGGACAGACATAAAACAAAACAAAACTATTTTTGTAAAACCGAAGAACACAAAACGTTGCAAATCTTGCTGTTTTTATTCAAAGGAAAGTAAAAATGATATTAAGATGAGCGCCCTTAATGGGCCCACCCAAATGCTATTATTTACAGTTCTGGAGCATTGCTATTTTATTCATTTCAGTTAAAACGGGTCACATTGAGATTAACAGAAGTTAAACACTTTGGTTGTGTGTGTATATAGACATTTTTATATATATATATATATATATATATATTTACACAACACAAGTATATATAGGATATTTGTACTGTAGACATGTCCAAATTCAGCTTGTATAAGCTGTTGAAGCCAGAAGTTTGATCTGAAGATGGAAGGTGTGGAATCCAATGATCAGTCAGAACTCGTTTCAGATGCTGGGAGTAAAAGAGCAAATTAACAAATTAATTGTTACAATAAATGAACAATATCATATAAAGATTTAAATATATTTATCATTTAAACATAGTTACTGCACACAATTAACCCTCCTAGTACCACCATATCAGCACAGGTAAAGCATTTCCCTTAATTGGCACTCACTATCTGCACTAGTATAACTCTAGCGCTATTAAAAGAAATCTATGTTAACAAAGGTGGTAAATATTTAGAATTTAGATCATAAGAGTGTGTTAGAGAAATACATTTTTACCAAATAAACAGCATAACCAAAGATGATACGTAAAGCCTCTATCCTTTTTATAAAATGTATAAATAAGGTGAGGAATTCAGCACAGATGTAAAAATGTTACAAGCCAGAATGTGTGACCTTGAGATCTTTGATCCCAAGAAGGTCTTACCCACGCTGCTGAGGTCAACAGAGTCTGCACAGCCTAGAAAGCGGGTCACATGTGCCGAACAGGAGGTAGATGAGTTCTGGTTTTCTTTCAGGCATTGCTCAAATTTCCCAAATTCAGTGGAACAGTCTTGCCGGATTTTCTGTATCACTGGACTGTAAAAAAAAACAGAGGTTGGATACACACTGTAAATACCACCAGAAGTTATATAGTTGTATGTCATAGGTCAAACTGACTTACTGTGATGATGTGCATTGAGAAACCTTCGTCTTTAGGTCATGGCACTTTTGCTGCCATGACGTCGGATTTGAAGCCACGCATGACCCATATGTCTCCAATTCTTTATAACAGTACTTTGTTGATATTTCCATAGCCGCTTGCCTGAAAGGAAACGGATTTATACACACAGAGGACAGGTGAGTGTGATCATCCCTCACTAAGCTGAGAAACGTGCTAAACAGCAGAGTGCAGAAGGGTTACACTGAGGCGCTCTGATCCGATCAAACTAAACCATATATACATGTATCAGTCATTACTAGTATAAGAAGTAATTCAAATTCTTACATCTTGATGCTCGTAGTTGTGTCGACGCAGGAATTGTAAACAAGGTTTCACTCCCACTATAAGTGAAAACGAGGTCTATACGATTAATAGCTAGGATACACACAACGGCCTGAGATTGGAAGGTTAAAAGCAAAACTACATTGACGTCATACGAGTTGATTGGCTGAGGTTTGCGTCTGTCAAGTATTTAGGTAACGCCTCCAGAGTGACGTTTGTGTTTAAAGCAGTAGCAAATTAAATCGCTACAAAGTATATGTATTTAGTTGATTTGCTTGTTTAACCGTAGAGAGTCGCAGACCCGGGGCCGCAAAAAAAAAAAAAAAAAAAAAAAAGAATGTGGCTCTTTGACCTCCACTACTGTACTGAGAAAATAAACTCTCACCATAAAATCCCAATATCTAGACAAACAAAAACGTGTGTCATAGCCTACTGTGTCCAAAAATAAGCATAAATATACGCTGGGATTCAGGAACATTACATTTGAAAGATATACACTATATGAACATTTTTGTTCCCAAAGCGAACAAATATTGGAGAATGCTATCCACCCCCTGCTGGCAGACACTAAACATCAACTAAATCGACAGACATCTCCATCTTTTAGTTGGCCTCCCCTTATTAGGTGGATTAAACTGTACGATTGACAAATCAAGATAGGAATGGTATAGGCTAAAGATGACCACTCCAAAGTTTGAAGACAAAAATAATTAAAATAATGAAAAATAGCTAATAGAATAATCAGCTTTCAGTCCATGGCGGCTTCATAGTCATAAATTATTTTTTGTAAAATACATTTCTTTCAATTTAATGTCCTCCAGTTCTCTACAACTTCTTTGTTTTATTGTGTGTCCTTTTAGTGTCATTTGTTTATTAAAACAGGCTAGGAAACTGAAATATTACTAACAATTTATTACCTTAAACATAGTTCAGGTGTTCAACAACAAAAAAAAAACAAAACAAAAGAGACTGACGCCGTCGTTCTGGAGAGGGTAGTCGGAGAAGGCGCATGCGCTCGGAAGGTTGGTGGGTCGTCCTGTCGGTTGGGCCACGGAAGGACAGAGAGAGGAGGATTGCATGTGGATGGTCGTTTGGTGCATGGCGCGTGTTTTGAAGCTGCTTATGGAGAAATGTCTTGGGCCGTGAGTAGTGAGGAAACAGGAAGCGATTCTTGTGGGATGGAAGAGGGAAATAGTGACAATGAAGGTTGGAAGATAGCAACATCAAAAAATGAGAAAAAGCGGAAAAAACAGAGATCAGTTCAAGGGGAATCTAGTTCAGAACAATCCAGTGATGATCATTCCATACATTCCACAGCACAACAAAATGAATTCAAAGTCATATTCAAAGTCGTTAATCAGGCAGACTCTTTTACAAATTGGAATCCGGTTCACTTAACAAAAACCATCAATAAACTTGTCGGAGAAGTCAGAGGTGCCAGAATTCTGTACAGTGGAGACCTGCTAATTAACTGCAGAGACAGCGCCCAGCAAGGCAAAGCAATACGGATCAACAAAATTGACGGGATAAGAGTTCAGTGCAGCCTAATGGAGAACAAAAAGATCAGCAGGGGAGTCATTGGAGGAGTTCCTCTAAAAATTTCTGAAAAAGAGATTCTGGAAAACATAAGCGGTGCAAAAGTAAAAGAAGTAAAACGGTTAAAAACAACAAGAAACGGAGAAAGATCTGACAGTTTATCAGTGCTAATTAAATTTGAGGAAGAGCAATTACCAAGCAAAGTATTCATCGGTTACATAAGCTATAATGTCAAAATCTACAATCCTCCACCATTGAGATGTTTCAAATGCCAAAAATTCGGTCACATTGCAGCAGTTTGTAAAGGGAAACAGAGGTGTGGAAGGTGTGCAGGAGAACATGAGTACGGAAAATGTGGAAAAGAAGCTATAATAAAATGCTGTAATTGTGGTGGAGAACATACTGCTGCCTATCGCGGCTGTGAAGCAAGCAAAAGGTCTGAGGAAATTAAAAAAATGAAATTTGAGCTCGGAATAACCTACGCTGAAGCTGCAAAAAGGATCCCATCTCAGTCAGAAAAACCCAAACCTACAGTTCAACACACGGCAAATTCCAAACCTCTAGAGAATCAAAAAATTGATGAAGACTCACTTATTGTTAAAAAGACAAATTTTGTTCTTTTCATGGTAGAAGTAATTAATTGTACTGCACAGACAACAAAAAAAACGGAAAAAATCAAAATAATAGTGAAGGCTGCAGAAAAATACCTGGACATTAAAGATTTGAACTGGGAGATGGTTGGAAGTATGATGGGAGGACCGATGGGACCATCAGAAACTGGCAGAGTTAAGATGACCTAGAGTAAATTAAAATTATATGGGCAAATGTGATTTAGTATTATGTTGGTTTAAGTTACACAGGTTTTTTTTTTTTTTTTTTTTTTTTTTTTTTTTTTTTTTTTTTTTTTTGGGTGAATCGTTTTCTGTTTTCTTGCTTTACTCCATATCAGTTGGTGGCGGTAATGCACAATTCACAAGCCTGCCAACCGCCATAAAACCCCATAAGAAGAAGAAGAAGAAGACTGACGCCGTCTAAACATTACGTGTCTTTGCGTGCTTACGTATGCGGAAGCAACTGTCGGGGAGCAGTCGAACCAACAAACTGGCTTGCAAAGCTGGACGGCACGCCGCTTCGAGTATTGAATCGTATATTTAACGGCTACAGCGAGACGGGGTGGTGGTGGATGGTAGAGGGGGCCAAATGAGGGATTCGGACACAATGAACGACAACAAGAAAGACGGGAGTAAGGCTGCAGACGGAATCCGAGGACCGGGTGAGCTGCAAATGGCCCCCTCTGTTAACCACAACCAGAATGACAGCGGTGCCGGTGATGAGCTGGTGAGTTCGGTGACGCTGTACCGACGGAGGCCCCGACTACTACACGGCACTGTTCTCCCGTTTCTGGCTGTTCTCTACCCTGGCTGGTTGTATGCGTGGTTTGGAGTATATGGTGCCTCCGAGTATCCAGAGGCAGGCCTCCTTGCCTTAGCCGCGATCGGGATCGCGCACGTCCTCACAGCACTCTCTGGATATTGGTCCGTGCACGTGCATTGTTGGCTCACTTGTTCGAAGGTAAGCAAGAGTTAAAATATAAATAAGCTAAAAAACATTTTTATTTCATTTGATTGATTTAAGGTCAATACAAAAAACAAATTTTCACACAATAGAAAATTGCGTTTTTATTGTTGATGGGGAAATCATTCTGAAATTACTTAAATGTTCTTCAATACTTTAAAGAATTGAAAAATGGAAACCTGATCTCTACCCAAATTTGATATATGTACTTGCATCCGAGACATGTCAGATGCTCTTGAGAAGTAAATTGTCTTGAACTACTTGACTTTTTAAAATGCCCTAAAATGTACTGACAGATCTCATGAAAACACTTTCTGTAAGGTATGAAGATTTGTTAAGGCTTTATAAACATATAACGACAATAATGATGTTCCATAATATTTGGATATAATTACAAAAATATTGTACATATATTGCATTATAATTATATAAAACAAACAGACCAACAGTCAGAAACCGGTCAGCAGACAAGAATATATGGTCTATTGTTTATACACAATAATTTTTAGAGGATCCGATTATTTATTTATTTATTTCATATAATCTAAACCTGCAGCAAGAAGGTTCCGGGTTTGATTCCCGGCCAGGGGATCTTTATTTATACTTAAAACTAATACGTTCACAGTAATTTAATGAATTTAGAGGTTAATCAGTAAAATAATTAAAACTATAATTTTCATTGCGATCACTGACTGGCCATTTTTGCCCCAATATAGTAACACCTCACTTTTGACTCCTTCCAGCAGTGACATCATGGTGTGGTAAGCCTCGCTTTACAAGTAAAATCAATGGGAACTACAAGACAAGTCTGCAATCAACAACAATTATTTAAGATTTCGAGAGGAATTCACCATTGAAATTCACGAGAACTATAGTTAAACTGACAATGCCCACTTGCATGGCAGTTGGATGTTGTAATACATCAGGTAAAAGTGAAAATAAACTAGTTATTTCACCTTTCCAATTCATGATCCTCCACGGACGGGTTCGTCGTTGGATTGCCAACTTGAAGAGAGAGGATTTGCCATCCAACTTCTATCCAGAGAAAAAACATGTAATATGTAGCCAACAAATCGAAGAAGAATGTTTTCAAGATGGATAATAGCACATTGTGACAAACACCAGCACAGTTCTGGATCTTGCTCAAGAGCCAATACCGCACTTTGACGTCACAAACCGGCGGGTGGCAGTAGTTTTCTTTTTTTTAAACATGGACGTCTCCAGTAAATCACATTCAAAGGAAATTACTCTTAATTAAAACACTCATCATTTATTGAACAGTATGTAATAATTTCATATTTAAAGTACTTTCAAAAGTTTGAATTCTGAATATGACCAGACTTCTCCTTTAACACAACTCTGCTAAAACTTTCTCACTTCAATTTCAAAAGAGTCTTCAGGTAGAAGAACTTTGTGTTGCATCTGCAACCAATGCGTTTCATTTCTAAAGCAATAGAAAGTTACCTTATAGAGAGGGGATTCAATAAACAATAAAAACTGCTAAAATTGTATCAGATATTATGCATTTTTATTAGTCTTTAGTAGTCATTTTCTTACCCTTTATCATAGAATAAGCAATACATACCTGACCAATGATGCGGGTACTGCAACAGTTCTTGCTCTACTGCATTATTGCACCACCGTGTTAAAACATTGCCAAAAGAACTATGATGACACACGCCACCTGAAGTTTTATTGTTTGTTTAAATGTTTTGGGGTTTTTTTTTTTACTTTGGACTTTTTAATTTTTCAATTTTGCAGGCATTTTTCCTTCTATCTCTGTACATCACTGGGCAGCAATATTGTATTCCAAAAACTATATTTATTATATTGTATTGTGATATTTTATATTATATATTTTAAATTTGTTCTTTCTTTTCATTAAACCCAGGAGCCAGACCCCAACCTGGCTACGCTGGCAAAAGTCATTCCAACCCCTAACAATGGTTCTGCTGAGCTTGTCCCACTCCAGAGGGATCAGGTTTGTTCACATTTTTAGTGAATGTTTTCCCCATGTTGTCCTTATTTTAAAGATTTTGAATGTTACCTGT